TTGATCCTGTTTCAGTGAAACTTCCAGACTAAGATGGACGAGAAAGAAAGGGCCAGTGGTCTACTTCTGAAAACCGGTCAATGAAACTGTTCCATCTACAACTTATCTTGGGGATGGGGCAGGACTGGGTAGCGTTTTGTTCCCTTGTGCATGGGGTTACCATGAGTCAGAGCCGACTCAGGGACATCTGGCAAACAAACACAACTGAATAAAGAACATTCTTCAACAGCATTTGAAACAACAGGACCGTTTCTTGGGAACATGCATCACAGTCCTTGTGCGGAGTGCTATGAGGGGTCATCCCATTTCATCCTCACAGCCACTCCTGAGAAGAATATAGGAATCATCTTGTGGTGGAGGAAACTAAGGCAGAGACACGAAAGTGGGTAATTCTGAACTTGGGCCTGCAGAATGCACAGAGTTATTATGTTATAATTCATTTCATGTCAGCGTTTCAAAGCGCAACGTGATCTATGTGGTAGGGGCATTGCTGTTCCTGCACAGTTCTCCCAACTTCGCTGTGGATTTGGAAATGCTCATAATAAAAATGTTGTTTACGCACGACAGAACGAGACACCGCCCGGCTCTTTGCTGTCCTCACAACTGTTACCATGTATGTGCCTACTGTTGCAATCTCTGTATCAATTCCTCTCGTGAGGGTCTTCCTCTTTATCGCTGATCCCATAAAATGTTAGGAAGTTAAAAAAAAAGCAACTTGATTCCTAAATGCTTTTTCACCAAGACAGACTTGCGAAGTTTAATGAGTCTTAGGAATAGGAAGGCCTTTATCTGCTTGGGTTCTAATAGGCTGGTGACCCTGGCACCAACCCCCTCCCATATAGGGCCCTTATCAAGTCCCCGGCGGAGCAGAGTCATGCTGGTCCCTTCAGAACTTGAGGGGGCCTAGTACTCCCAGCCTGCTTGGTGGTGTCCTTTTTCCGGCAAATGGATTCTGGTCTGCTAATGACGCCATAGACCTTACCATTCTGGAACCTTCCTCCCTACCAGTTTCTTCTACCATCAGATCAACAAAAATGATGCAACCTGTGTGTGTTTGCCCTCTCATGCTGCTCATTACAACTTGCTCTGCTTGCAGTGACGCCCCTCAATTATTTTGTCGAAGGCCACAATTAAGAAGAGATCATGGTTGCAGAGCCCAGAGGCACTGCCAGCTCCCATTAACTGGTCCCCCAATGTGGCCGAGCTGGGTCCCGACAGTAATTGCTTTGTAAGAATAATGGGATGTTTAACAACAACTTATCTGTCCATCAGGCGCCAACTCAGAGTGCCCCAAGAAATAAGAAATGTTGGGCTCATGTGTAATCCACATACTCCGTGTAATGCACACACTATGTGTAATGTACACACTGCGTGTAATTCACATACTCTGTGTAATCCACACATTCCGTGTGACCCACACACTCCATGTAATCCACACACTAGACAATTATGAAAAGGACATGAAGGGTCAGAAGGATGCTTCCAGAGTGATTCAATGTTACTTTTTAATAAAATTACTGAGAATAAGACCCCATACATGTACACTGCATTTCACAGTTTGCAGAGTTCTTTTGCACCCATCTGCCCCAGCACTCCTCACTGCCACACAGGGGCAGGGCACCTGGGCAGGGAATGGATATACTGGCTCCATTTTGCAGAGGCAGAAATTGAGCTCTGAAGATGGCAGTGACTCACCCTGTTAGTACCTGCCAAGGTGAGGTTCCACTTTGGCCTCTCTGAATTAGGGCAAGCATCTGGCTCCTTCACCCCCAGGTGCTTCTCCAACCCATCAGTTCCAACCATCCATCCATCCTTCCTCCATCCACCCATCCATCCTTCCTCCATCCATCCATCCACCCATCCATCCTTCCTTCCTTCCTCCACCCATCCTTCCTTCCTCCACCCATCCTTCCTTCCTCCACCCATCCATCCTGCCTCCCTCCATCCAACCTTCCTTCCTCCATCTATCCATCCTTCCTTCCTCCATCCAACCTTCCTTCCTCCATCTATCCATCCTTCCTTCCTCCATCCATCCATCCTTCCTCCATCCATCCATCCATCCTTCCTCCATCCATCCATCCATCCTTCCTCCATCCACCCATCCATCCTTCCTCCACCCATCCATCCTTCCTCCATCCATCCATCCACCCTTCCTTCCTTCCTCCACCCATCCTTCCTCCATCCATCCATCTTTCCTTCCTCCACCCATCCATCCTGCCTCCCTCCATCCAACCTTCCTTCCTCCATCCACCCATCCTTCCTTCCTCCATCCATCCATCCTTCCTCCATCCATCCATCCATCCATCCATCCTTCCTCCATCCACCCATCCATCCTTCCTCCATCCATCCATTCATCCTTTCTCCATCCATCCATCCTTCCTCCATCCATCCATCCTTCCTCCATCCATCTATCCTTCCATCCATCCTTCCTCCATCCATCCTTTCTCCACCCATCCTTCCTTCCTCCACCCATCCATCCTTCCTTCCTCCACCCATCCATCCTTCCTTCCTCCATCCATCCATCCTTCCTTCCTCCATCCATCCATCCTTTCTTCCTCCATCCATCCATCCTTCCTTCTTCCATCCATCCATTCATCCACCCACCCACCCATTCTTCACCTATCCATCCATCCATCCATCTACCCATCCTTTATCCATACATACATCCAGGGCCACATCTCTCCCTACAACTGACTCCTGCCCTGAGGACTTTGCCCCCATGAAGTGCCTCACACATGCTCACTAGAGTGTCCATCAACAGCAGTGGGTTTGCCTCTGCCAACCAATGGCATTCCTGACTCTAACCCATATTCAAAGTAGGGAAAGGGACCTTTCCCAGAAGCATGGGAAATTCTGCCTCCCCACCTTGAATCCCACCCAGACCCCAGGAAGGAGGAGGTTCTCCGAAATCTCCCTCCTCCAAGGGACTGGGCCAAGAACTGCCTGGCTCAGGCTAATTTGACCCTGGGCACCTGGGCACCCCCAGGATACCAGGTGGGCCCTCATTCAAGCAATGCTGGTTTGAGTGACTAGAACACCACAATCAAACCAAACTAGTTACTATTAAGTTGGCTCCAACTCATGGAGACCCCATGTGTACAGAAGAAAGCTGTGCTCCTGAGGTTCTCAGTGGCTGATTTTTCAGAATTAGATTGCCAGGCCTTTCTTCTGCGTGCCTCTCAGTGGATTCAAACCACCAACCTTCTATTTAGCAGCTGAGCATTTAGCCATTTGCACCACTCAGGGACTCCTGCCAGACACCACTGAAGCCCCAGTGAAGGTGAAGTTCCCTGGTGGGCAGATGAGAGAATGGCTAATGTCAGGGCCCAGGCTGCTGGGGCATGGCAGGAAGCTGGGATAAATGCAGGATCCAGGGAGGGGGCAGGGGAGAGATGTGTGGAAACCAGGGGATCCAAGTGGTTGCTCTGGGCCTCAACACCAACGCACAGGGAGACATCGGTGTATTCAGTAAGCCCAGTCTGTTCCATCTGCTGTGACACAGGGTTTAAAGGGAAGGGCTTAGGGGCAGGTCAATTGAATTTGCCTCCCTTCTTTGTCTTTACAGAGTGATGACCTTTAGGCCACCGAGTTTCACTCTCTGAGTCCGTTTTGCTCACCTCTAACATGTGCATATGGACTTCTAGAAGTCACCATACAGCTGGGATACTCTTTAGAAGGAAGAATGGTGAGAATTTATATCACGTACTTTGGACATGTTATTGGGAGGTACTAGTCCCTGGAGAAGGACACTGTGCTTGGTAAAGCAGAAGATCAGTGGAAACCAGCGAGACCCTCTGTGAGATGGACTAAGTCAATAGATGCAGCAAGGGACTCAGGCTGGGGCAGGATGGGCGACGTTTCACTGTTGTACATGGGGTCGCTGTGACTCAGTAACTTGAAGACAGCGAACTACAAAACAGGTGTGATATTGCCCATCTTGCTGGGTTGTCCTGAGGAGTAAATGAGACACCACATAGAGTACGGTCTTGGTGCACACCGGTCCTCTCCAATCGGCAGCGACTTTAGCAGTGATCAGATGCCCACACAGACATGGGAGCCTCTAGAAGAGCATTGTGGGGCTGGGCAGGTATGAGGTGGGCTTGGAGAGGATGCGGGACCTCCCCTCAGAACCTGAGGCAGGTCGTGCTCCAAGATGTGTTGGAGAAGGGGAGACACCCGGACGAGAGGGAAGCTTCCTTCTGGAAAGATTCACACACACAGGCCATTGGAAAGATCATGAAACCATTTATTCTCCTGTCTGTAAGAAGAGGAAAACGAAATGGGCCCTGAAAACCCATTGTTCCATCGGTGAATAAATCTGGACCACACACGAACCGAGGGATGGGGTCTTCACTGAGGGTTTGTTTGGGTTTTTTGCTTTTTCAAAACGCTGAACTGCAATGTACCTTTAAAGTGTTCCTGAGACATTTTGCTCTTGGGGAGAATGATCAAACTGCTGATTTGGTCTACAGTAGTTTTGCCCTACGAATTGAGCATAACACATCTGATTGGCATAAAAGTACCAAAATGTCAAATTTCACAGAATCGGGGCCAGAACTGTTCTTTCCATGGCATTTGGACCTGCTCCCCGCTGGGAGAAAAATGCCTTTCTTTCCTTGGTCCTTTGCAATGCCCAACCCACAGGTACAGAAAAGGAATAGTATTCAATCTTTGCATTTAAAAACCAAGCAAGGCTTTAACCAAGTAATTGAATCATTAGGCTCATGGTTTAAACACCAAAGTACATTGGATGAATTACTCATCTGGCCCAGCTTAATACCTGTTGTCTTAACACTACAACAACAACAGCAACAAAAATACATAGAGTTGAGACATGTCTAGGTGGTACAGCGTCACTTAATACAGGTGGTGCTAACACTACAAACAAACCACAAAGTGAAGAAGTGTCTGGGTGGTGCAGAGAGGCACAGACATTGTCTTTCTCAGCAATGACTTGGCCTCGAGGTGCAGCTTTGGCTGGCTGCAATGCAGACCAGCCCTCAGAACCAGTACTCAGAGACGAAGATGTGGACGTTGACGACATTTCGGTGGGAGACCACACCCCCGACCACGTAGTTCATCTCCAGCTTCAGGACAGCGTGAAATGGGCCCACGATGGGCCTCACCTGGCGGACTACACCTGTGAAGAGAGCAGAGGTGTCCTGGCAGTTAGAGGGACTGCAGCAAGGCTGGGACCTGGGTGAGAAATTTCAGGGCTAGATCTCACCAAGGCCCACTCTAAGCCTCATGTTCAAATGTTCAAGTCTCTGGCATGGCATACCCTCCAAGTGGTCTCACCTACCTTGGGACCAGCCAAGGTGAGCTTATTTCTCCCAGAAACAGTCATTCTATTGGGGCCCTCTGTGCTTCAAGGGCATCTGTAAGCATGGGCTTTGGGGTCAGGCAGCTCTGGGTCAGCACTCATTGTTGCCTTCTGGGAACCCAGATCTCCTTCTCCATCACATCTACCTTGCTAGCTACTTAGTTCCAAGGGTTTAAAGTGTCTGGAAAGGGCCTGGCCTAGAGTTGTTACTGTTACTACAAAATACCCATGTTCTCAATGACATAAAGTTATTGGACTGTGTGGATCACAATTCATTTAGATCACATTACCAAGAAGGGGAACCCTAAAACACTTTATTGTGCTCCTCAGGAATCTGGACATAGACCAAGAGGCACTTGTTTGAATGAAACAAGGGGACTCTGTGGACTCAGGATTGAAGAGGATGAGTAGATGCCCTTCCTCCTACCCACTGTGCCCAGTCTGACCCTTGTGAGAAATGGCTTTACTTCACCAAGACTATGAGCCTCAGTTACCCTCCAGGTCTGTCAGTGAACTCACTCCATGGTTCAATTTTCTATAAGGGGAACAATAAAACTAGTGAGGTACACACACCTTAGAATAACTAACCGTTTGAGATCAAAAGGGCAGCATTCCATTCACCCAAGAACAGAGTTGAGAAGGGTTAGGAAACAGAGAGGAATGGAAACAGGAAACACAGGGAGCAAACAGGACAGGTGATGCCAGGTGGTGAGGAATTGCAGTCAGTGACATGAAACGAAATGTGCCTGAATTTGTGAATGGAAAACAGATCGGCTCTTGAAACCTCCACCTAATTCACAACCAAAAGTTAAGAAACAAAGAAAAAGCAAACCCGGAGCCTATAGTTCTCGACCCCAACTTGACAATTAGCCACCAAGTGGGTGCCGTCTCAGAAGGCCGATTCCAGACCGGTTTTGACACACAGCACCACACGCACATTAACGCATCTCCCCAGCAAATGTGGAGGCTGACTGGGGTCTCAGAGGCCTTCCCCAGGCAGCTAGAACATCAAGTTCATGATCAGGAAGCAGACGGTGGGTGTGGTGGCCCTCCTCACTGCCCTTTCTGAGCTCCTGTGTCAGACACGAAATGCCAGGCAGCAGCAGGTTGGAATTCCAGGCAGTTCTTAGGGCCGGTCTCTAAGCAAACAGGGGGCTTTGGCGCTGATGCAGGCTGTCAGCACCCTTTCTCTGCCCGCCACCCAGTGATAACACGGCAGCTTTGTCCTATTGGAGTGCTGATGAACGTCTTCAGCTCCCGGCAAAGACGTGGGCCTGTCACCAGCCCCTGTGTGCCAGTAGGACCCGACGACCGGGCCATTCCCACTGCCCCATTGGGAACAGTGTGTGCCGGGGTCAGTGTGCGCTCAGGGGGGCTGAATCCAGACACTTGCCCATGTCCCTGCTTCCCCTGCAGGATTAGCTTTACTCCCCTGGGCCTGAGGTAGACTATGGTCTCCAGCAGCCTAAGGATTTTCACTGTTCTCACCAATGCCCAGTTGGGTGGAGACGTAAGGAGAGAAGGGGTGAGAGGTTGGTGGACGATTTTAGGAGACAGGAGCCATCGAGTGAGGTGACGTGAGTACTTCCATAAGCTACAATCAGATACGTATCTGTAGGCACACAGAGGTGCACATATGCGTACACTATATGGATCCCCATAGATGGGCATATGTACTATCCATATACACATGGTGGTGGTTATGTACCATGGAGTCGGCTCTGACTAGTAGGGTTTTCAAGGAGCAGCTGGTGAATTTGAACCACAGACCTTGTGGTTCACACAGACCTTGGAGACCAGTACCTTATCCCACAGTGCCACACCAGGACTCCATTTATACACATAAATGTGCATATGTACTATACATATAGTAATGTAATATACAAATGCAATATACAAATATACTCTGGTAGCATAGTGGTTACGAATCGGACTGTGAACTTTAAGGTCAGCAGTTTGACACTACCAGCCACTCCGTGGGAGAAAGATAAGGCTTTCTGCACCCGTAAAGATTTTCAGCCTCAGAGATCCTGTACAGGGTCGCTATGGATGGGAACCGACTCGGCGGCACTTAACAACAACAACAACATACATGTCTACACATATACATTTACTGTACATACACAGGGAGTCCTGATGTGGCGCTGTAGGATAAGCACTTGACCACGAGGTTGGTCTGAACCACAAGGTTGGCAGTTCAAACTCACCAGCTGCTCCTTGGAAACTCTATACAAGATCTCTATGGGTCAGAACTGACTTGACAGCATTTAACAACAACAATATGTATACGCATATTATGCAATATACATTTACTATACTTAAACACATAGATGTGCACATATACTCTACATATACACATGACGTTCTGGGGTGGGGATGGGGCGCTGTGGGATAACGCACTGGACAACAAGGTCTATTTGAACCACAAGATCAGCAGTTCAAACTCACCAGCCGCTCCTTGGAAACCCTATACAGAGTCGCTATGGGCCAGAACTCGATTCAATGGCACTTAACAACGACAACAATACTAGTATATGGAATTAGACACACACACATATATATACTAGCATATACATATATACACACACACCACATACGTGTGCATCTATGAATAGTGCATGTACACACATGTACACATATAGTCCTGGTGTGGTACTGTGGGACAAAACACTGGAACTGCCACAAGGCTGGTGGTTCAAACCCACCAGCTACTCCTTGGAAACCCTATACAGGGTCGCTATAAGTCAGAACCAACTTGATGGCACTTCACAACATACACTCACATGTACACATACACTATGAGTGTACACATATTCATATATTAGATATGCACACAGATACACACACATATAAGTACACCACACATTGTTATTGTTGGGTGCTGCAAATCAGTGTGTCCCATAGTGACCCTGTAAACGGTTTCTGACGCTGTACATCTTTCTCCCATGGGACGGTTGATGGGCTCGAACTGCTGACCTTGTAGTTCACAGTCTAGTGCTTATACTATAGAGCTACTTGTGCACATATATGCATATGACACATACACATGAGCATGTGCATTGTACATGCTATACTATACATGCATATGAAGCCCTGAGGTGGCGCTGTGGTTTAATGTGATGGACTTCAAGGTCAGTTTGAACTGCAAGGTTGGCAGTTCAAGCTCACCAGCCACTCCTCAGAAACCCTACACAGGATCGCTGTGGGTCAGAACCAGTTGACAGCACTTAACAACAACATGTATGCATATATGTTCACATATACGTATATAAACACACACACATGTTGTTGTTATAGCAACCCTATAGAGGATTTATGAGAGTGGCTGGTGGGTTTGAACTGCCAGCCTTGCAGTTAGCAGTCCAGTGCTTTACCTACAACACCACAGCAGGACTCATATATACACATGCACAAATACAGATACTATACAGACAAGACACATGTGTGTATACAAGTGTATCCATACACATGGAGTCCTGGTTTGGTGCTGTAGGATAAGCACTGGACTACTAACATCAAGGTTGAGGGTTCAAACCCACCAGCTTATGCTCGGAAATCCTATATAAGGTTGTTCTCCATCACAACCTATTCCACAGCACTTAACAACAAGAATACACATATCCATACATGTGCACATAGATGTATACACAAGTGCACACAATATACATACACTGGTGTGTACATACATGTATATATACTATGTTTATGCAGACACATGCACATAAACAGATACTACCCATGCATGAATGCACATATACATATAGAAATACTATACATAGATATGGAGGCCTGTAGGATAAGCACTAGATTTCTAACCACAAGATTGGTGATTCAAAATCATCAGCTGATCCTCAGAAACCTTATATAGGATTGCTATGAGTTGGAATGGACTTCATGGCACTTAATAACAACAATAACAATACATATACAAATAGGGGTGCATGTATACATACATTATACACACCCAGGTGCACACTATACATACATGTGCACATATATAAATACTATACATATGCACACACACTGCATTTGCTCTTGGATGTAGAGTAGCTAAAGCAAACAGAAAAAATGATGATGCAAAAGAGCTGAACAGACGAGTTCGAAAGGCAGCTGGAGAAGATAAAGTACAGAACAAGGAAATGTGCAAAGACCTGGCGTTAGAAAGCCAAAAGGGAAGAACACACTTGGCATTTCTCGAGTGGAAAGAATTGAGAAGAAATTCAAGTCTTGAGTTGCAGTACTGAAGGATTCTACAGGTAAGGCATTGGACAACGCTGGAAGCATCAAGAGAAGATGGCAGGAGTACAAAGCACTGTACCAAAAACGAATTGTTCGACAATCAACCATTTCAGGATGTTGCATATGATCAAGAGCTGCTGAGGACGCTGGCAACAAACAAGGCTCCAGAACACCAACTGAGAATGCTTGAGAAAACGATGCAACGCTAAAAGTGTTCATTCAACTATGCCAAGAAATTGGAAAGGCAATTGCCTGGCCAACCGACAAGAAGAGATCCATATTTGTGCCCATTCCGAAGATAGATGATCCAACGGAATGTAGAAATTATCGAACAATATCATTAATATCATATGCAATTATGTTATTATGCACAATTATACTGAAGATAATTCAAAAACAGTTGCAAGAGTACATCAGTAGGAAGGGGATGTGGAATGAGGGATATCACTGCTGATGTCATATGGATATTGGTTGAAAGAAGAGAATATCAGAAAGGTATTTACTTCTGTTTCCTCAACTATGCAAAAGTATTCAACTCTGTGGGTCATAACAAATTATGGATAATATTGTAAAGAATT